ATACATACATACATGCATACACACAAGGGCCCCTAAATGAGCAACGCTAAATATGAGTTTAAGAAAACAAATCCCATATCTCTGCCGCCTCAAAGCACGAGTACCGAAGCGATCTGCCGCGGCTGCAAGGCCCAACGACCTCAGCAAATCACTCAGTTTAGGGTTTAGGGTTTAGACTTGTTGGTGTTCGCAATTTGGGGTGAGGTTGGGGCTACGGCTTCAGGGCTTCAGGGCTGTGCACTTGGGATTCAAAAGTTGATATCTACATTCAGATTCTGTGATGGGGTCTTGAGCCCTTGAGAACCTTTCGGGGCCCTATCAGAGGTATTCGTCTCGGCGTAAGCGGTCAGTAAAGCCTGCATCGAAACCCCACTGTCTCCACTCCGACCAAGCCCCACGGTTAAGAACCTCGATCCAAAGACGCAACAAATTCGGAGACTTGGTAGTGGCAGAGGCGACCCATGGCGGGCCCTAATCATGTCTCGAGTTCAGAGCCAACACCAGGAATTCAACGTGTCCTGGTTGGTCTGTCCAAAGTTTCTGAAGGGTACCCCAGTAAAACAGAGACCGTCGCACCTCCGCCAGAATCTGAGGCAGGGTGCCCACAGTGATGCATGATGTCAGCCGCTAGCCCATGCTGCGGCTGACATTCAACATCTCGCTGAGGCTCCGGTGTGCAGCGCAGTCGTCGCGGAGTACCTCCGTTCTTACCTGTAAAGGTTTCTCTTTGGCGATACTGTTCCCCGGTAATAGGCTGGTCGTTGTCGCCGTACCTGATGCTTCAGTCCATGGTTTCGAGCTGACCCCGACAGGAATGGTGGTACCATGTGTCAACCATGCTGAGGGTGAAGTCAGGGAAAGGAAGCGACAGTTGTCGGAGGAACTCCCCTCGAAGTGATCCCGGAAGCAGGGCCCATGATTACCACCAGATCTCAAAAGCTGAGGAGCTTTCCCAGGCTGTGAAATACAAGGTGTACAGTGCCATCCGACTGTCGAAGCTGAACCCTTGTCGTCGCCAGGTTTGATGGAAATGAAGCATATCTCCCAGCCCAAGAGTTGGAAACCCAATAGCCTCAATCCTTAAGAGTAATCTATAGGGAATCTCAGCACTAACTGTCCTTAATACCCTAAACCCTAAACTCTAAACCCCAAGCCCTAAACCGTCTTTTTGGGGTTTAGGGTCCACCTCCTGAGGTTTATTGACCGAGGACCCATCCCACCTTCCCGGCTGCCTTCGAACTCAGAAGATTAACGGAGGGGCCTGGTTTAGCGTTTAGGGGTTTGGGGGTTTAGGGTTTAGGGGTTTAGCGTTTAGGGTTTTAGGGGTTTAGGGGTTAAGGAGTTAAGGGGTTTAGGGTTTAGGGCTTTAGGGGTTTAGGGCTTAGGGGTTTAAGCGTTTAGGGTTTTGGGGCACATCATCATCGTATAATCACATCAAGGAACGCTGGGGAACAGTGGTAACTATGTAGGCTTCGGTATTCCGCCAAGAGATGGAAAATTGACAGGTTCAGGATGAGGACAAGTCAGGGTGTGCTCCGACTAGTTCTGGTACTTTTATGGGGAGAAACTTACTACCTGTTGAGGCTGTTATGGGCGAACTGAACACCTTAGCGCCGCCTTTCAGCCCTGAACATAAAACCCTAAACTCTAAACCCCGAAACCCTAAACCCGAAATAAGTCTTAAGCCTCTTCCAAACCTGCCCTCCTGGATGAAATCTGACACCCTAAACCCTGGACCTAGACTCCAATCCCTTAAAGGAACCCTGAAATGAACCCTCTTTTTTATTATACCCCTTCAAGGAATCCCGGGAATTCTACATCCTAAAACTCCTCGGGTCGAGAGCGAAATTCAGCCCGAGAGGCGGGTGCCGAGCCAATGTCGTGATAAGCACCTGCCAAAAAAGGGTTTGGGGTTCAGGGCTTTAGGGCTTTAGGGGTTTAAGGTTTAGGGTTTGGGGGTTTAGGGTTTAAGGTTTAAGAGTTTTGGGTTTATAGGGTGTAGGGTCTAGGGGTTTAGGGTTTAGGGAAAAAGGATCACTTTCGGGGTCCTTTTTACAAGGGTGCCGTACTCTATTGGAGACCTCAAAGGAGACTTTCATTTTGAGAACTACCCACATCGACCCCTGATAAGCCATCACATAGCTCTGCGAATCTTCAAGGTCACAAGCCCTTACCTAACGGCGTAGCGAGTGGCACCCCCCGCAATCCTACGGTTGATGATATAACTCCTGCATTACCCATAATAAGTAATATACCAAAACTGCAATAGTTTAGGGTCCTGAAGGTAATGCAGGATTTATATCATCCACAGTAGCTGCTTCGATCCATGACCCCCCGCCCCCCCAGGTGCAAGTCCGTAGCCCTTCCAATCATAAAGCCTTAAAGCCTTATAGAAGATGCATACACACACATATGTATGCATGTTTGTATATATATATATATGTATTTACATATATATATATATATATGTGTGTGTGTGTGTGTGTATACATGCATATATGTTTGTAGATTATGTGTGTATATATATATATATACACTCTAAGACTCGAAAACTCGGAAATCCTTGAGCCCTCTCACAACCGCTACACCCTAAAACCCTGAAGACCCGCACCCTCTCCTGAGCCACGACTTCAGAAACTCCACGTCTGACCCAAAACCCTATACGCTAAACCTCTTCTGTTACTTGAAGAGACAGGACCCGAAAACAAACAGAGACGACACCCACCGGAAAGCCGGTTCTGCCTTGAAGCTCTTTCGCCGTACTTGAGGGCTCCAGTTACCAAAGTACTGGGGTACATTAATATGTGGGTAGTAACCTACCATTGAGGGACCGGAGCCCTAGGGGTAGAGGAAGTAAGCAGTAAGTATAAACTTCCGGACTTGGGAAACCAGCAAACATAAACAGAAGAGGCTCACACGAACACAAACCAACAAGCGAAACCCCTAAAACCTAAATCGTTTCGGGTTTAGGAGCCCCAAACCCCTAGACCGGCGCACCCGCTCCGCAGCATGAGACAGCGCAGTGTGAGCGGGCGCCGTCAGCGGCAGCCATTGACCGGATCTCGGGTTCGTGGTTCTGTTAGTTCTGTCTACACAGCAGCAGCAGAAGGAGCAGGAGCAGGAGCAGGAGCAGGAGCAGGAGCAGGAGCAGGAGCAGGAGCAGGAGCAGGAGCAGGAGCAGGAGCAGGAGCAGGAGCAGGAGCAGTAGGAGTGGTAGTAGAAGTAGTAGTAGTAGTCGTCGTCGTCGTCGTCGTCGCAATTGTCGTCGTCGTCGTCGTCGTCGTCGTCGTCGTCGTCGTCGTCTTCGTCGTCGTGGTCGTCGTCGTCGTCGTACTCACAGTCGTAGTTGTAGCTGTAGTTGTTGTCGTTGTGGTGGCTGTCGTCGTCGCAAGCAGAAATAGAATTTCCCGGACTCCTGCAGGCCGAGACCAAAATTTCCAAAGATAGCGGCCTTAATAATTAGAATAGGGTTTTGGGGCCCATTATACTATAGCTATTCTAAGGAACGCCCAAAATAGAACAGGTAATTATTTAAGCCCCTACATTAGTTAAAGATCCGGCGGATGGAGCATCACCTGGATTGATACAGGAAGGGCTCAAGACCTGAAGGAGTTTTAGGAGGGCTCAAAGGAAGTTTCAGGATTTTTAGGGATGAATCTGAAAGCCAAGGGACTCAGACAGAAAACAATCTGCGAGTCTCTAGGGCCCAATAGCTTTGTAGGATTGTAGGATTCAAGACAGCGTTTGCGAGGAATAGCTCAATGTCCAAACTTATTACACTTCGGATCGGCTTCACTGATGGTTCACTTGTAGCACGGGTTTCCGGCCTCCGTTGCTAGTGACTAGTGAAGCCCTCCAAGTGTCCGGCAACAGTGCAGGCAGCGATGTAATTGCAGCTCCATGTTGAGAGAGAAGCGCTGCTGCATCCGCCGTCTGTGCGTGCTGAAAGGGTCTTTTCACAGACTAAGGTCGTTCAAACTTCCATAGGCTCTCGTTTAGTCACTAAGATTTGCCATCTGGGGCAGTGGCTATAGTCTGCCACAGGACTTTATAATCCCGCAGATAAAACGACACTTTCCCTGCAAATCCTGGCATTTGCAGCATTCTGGCAGCCTTCGGCGCCTGAAGCTATGGAAAAACACAGATGCCAAAATACGTTGCGAAACGGGAAGCGAGCTACTTATGTGTGTTCCTCACTTGCAATCTAAGACTTCTGCAGTTCTTTTTCAAAATAAGAACAACATTGTACTTCTTGGTATCGAGCCCCTCTTGTGTACTACATATAGTTCCTTGTACGATCTTGTGAGGCTCGATGGTCTTCTGGCCCTCTGTGGAGTTGGTTGGGGGGGCCCTTGATCTTTCATCAGTGTCCCGGTGAGACCGGACGGGGCGTGGAATGATGGAGCATGTCCGCAGTGAAAGTGATCACTTAGAAGAGAGCCCCCAAAAGTCACACAAACCCTAAACCCTAAACCCAAGTCCGAGAAAGGGGAGCTCGAGCATTTAGAGCTCCGTAGCCCAACCTTTATAGGCTTATAAGTCCTGAATCATAAGACCATGCATTAGAAACCGTTACAGAACCCTGGAGCCCTGAACCCCATAGAACCCTTAATTAACAACCCGAAGCCCAACACAAAAATACCTGATGTAGGGGCCTGAACAGTTAGAATAGGGATTTGGGGCCCATTATACTAGATTTATGATAAGGAACCCCCCCAAAAAATAATATTGGTAACTGTTTAGGCCCCTGTATATTGAGCGCAACACAATCACACGAAAGGCCGGGCCTGGTCAAGCAGCGATGCCCAAAGCTCTGCACCCAGGATCGCTGCAACGGCCCGCTCCTCCATGTGGCGATTGGGAAGAGAAGGAGAGAGTTTAGGGTTTAGGGGTTCAGGGCTTTGGGGTTTTAGGGTTTAGGGGATTTAGGTTTTAGGAAAGAAGCAACGATATCAGAGCTTGCGGAAGGTAGCCAGAACAGGAGCCAAGGGATCAGCCGGACCATACAAGGGAGTCTGCGGAGGGCTTTCGTCAGGGTTCCTAAACACTCGGACTTCGCTTTGGGTTCGCCAGAAGCGGCCTCAACGTGCAGCTGAAACCCTGAATCCCAAACCCTGAACCCTATTTGGCAAGTGGGTT